ACTTTGCAACTATTCATCAAAGTCATTCTAAATCGACCAAAGAAGTATACAGGGATATGCTGATGGGTCATGTACAGAGGGATTCTACCAAAAGTAACCCTCACTGCTCGGTGCAATCACTGTTTCAGTCTTGGGGGAAAGGAATCGTGACACAGGTTGGAAAGCCACTGAAACTGGACTGTCGAAAACTTAGGAAAAGTCCTTGGAATGAAATGAAACAATCAAAGCTCAGCTCACAACTTCGAGACTGGAAATCTAGCCGTCCCATGGGAGGCCTTTGCTTTAAAGTACAAGAAGATGAGCTGTGACGAAATCAGAGATGAATTCAACAACAATTTTTACGTTTCTCAGGTCGAGAAAGATTTTCCAATTGCCTACATCTTTGTGGTGTACACCAATGCAGGACAAGTATTGCGACTGTTGAAGTCTATATACAGACCACAAAACTTGTACTGCATTCACCCAGACGCAAGACAGGGCAAACGTTTCAAGGAATTTTTCACGACTGTTGCAAAGTGCCTGGACAATGTGTTTGTAGTCTCCAAGCCAGTAAAGGTGTACTATGGGCACATATCCATCACCAATGCCCAGCTACAGTGCATGCAGGATCTGGAGAAATACCCACAGTCCAGATGGAGATATGTCATCAATCTCTGTGGAAGAGAGGTTCCAGTAAAGACCAACCGAGAGATTGTGGAATCGCTCATGAAACTCAGAGGCTACTCGCCCTAGACCTGCATGGACTTAGCACCATTTTTTGGACCCAACGTTTCAAGTACAAGTTTGCTCTCCGCAAAGGAAGGATGGGACTAACACGTCAGCGACAGAAGAACCCACCAAAGGGCATAAAGATATACAAGAGCATGAACTTTATTGCGGCAAGTCGAGCATTTGTACACTTTCTGCTCTACGATCCTCTGTCCCGAAAGCTTCGCAGTTACCTCGGCACTGTGTGGGCCCCGGAAGAACACTTCTACTCATCACTGTACGCTCTTCCTCAGGCAAAAGGTGCCCGACCACCGAAAAAACTACTGGGGAAATATGACATGCCAATAGTGGACAATTTCATATGGGTGAACCGCAGGTGGCAAGTGAAAAACAGAAGGAAATACTGCCCTGGAGGAAAAATAGTTCACGGGATCTGCATACTGACGGCACAAGATATGGGAAGAATAGAACAACTCGGCGTCCGTTCGCAGCGGCCCGTGTTTTTCTTCAACAAGTATTTTCTGGAGTGGGACCCAACAGCCATGGATTGTATGGAGGAGAGGCTGGTACAGGCCAACATGGACGAGTATAGGAGAGACTGCATGCCAAATTCTAAGTCTTAGAGAAACTGTGAATCACAGAAATGCTTTCGTTCCGCGCAACTAGCAAAAAAGTGGACGAAGAAATGCTCCGTTCCTAATGCAAGAAGCACGAATTCACCAATGCTAGACTCACGCGAATGCACGATGCACCAATGCACGGATTCACCGAGGCCGCGCCGTTCGGGCGAATGCGGCGATTCTGCGCATGCGTCGAAAGCCGAGGCGCGCGCAGCATGCATGCAGCGTTCGTAACTAAGCCGCGCATGCGCACTTAGAAGACGTACGCGGTCGCGCCGTACCGTTCGGACCGCCACTAGGCCGCCGGCGGCCACGGCTGTTTCAATTCCGTACCAACTTAGTGACGTCACTGAATCATTACGTAATCATAAAATTTCCGTAGCAACAGGCCCTATGGCTTTTTCGCGGCGCTTTGCGCACCGAGGATTAGTGGGCGGAGTTTTTACGCAAAACCCCGTTGACCCTTGGAGAAGACACTACGACGAGTAGATACGTTTTTCGTGGCCCATGGTCGCTTCTCGACAGCGGCGCAGGCAGCAGAATGAACAGCTATCAAGCCTGAAAAGTTGTCTTCTACCGGATCGCCAGCAATTTTGAGAGAAAGTCTGATTGAAAAGGCAGAAGGGAAAAGCGTTAGACGACCGGTTTGTATACTGTATGCGACGGCAAGCATCCTTGCGAAGGCGGTATTCTTGGTCATAATCTGGCCATATATTGATGTGTACGTGTATAATGACGGCCTATACAAGAAACAGTGGGATGCTACCGCTTTATCCCCCTGTCCTTCCACCGTCCCGTGGTGCTCTAGGAACAGTCAGAGCTGTCTCTCCAAGAAGAACAATGTCATGAGCATTCTTCAAGTAGGTTGTGTACAGTTAACTGACTCATCTCTATCTTCCACAACCTGTATTCTCCAGATTCCTTTTTGCAGCTGACTTTCAAACTACGTACTTTTAGTCTTCAGCTCCAGGTTTGTGTAGTATGTTTGTTTATAATATCTGTGCTCTATGTCTCTGTCTAGTACCGGACAGTGTGTTCATCGACACACATCGATATTGCACAGTATGTGGTACTTCATTCTTTCGTCGACAAACATCCACACTGAGTTCAAGGAGTGTAGGTTTGCTGCTGAACTTCATGTTCAGCGTCTTCTGAACTAATAGTCACAGAATGTATATTGCAAGTTGTTCTGTTATACCCAATGTTTCACTTTACACTTTGTATCATGGCCGACATGGGCCCACGTCATGGTTTCTGTAGCTATCCATGTCAATGACTATTTTGAAATCACTACAGATGTTTTACAGTGTTCCTTTCTATCTCCTCTTGAGCCAGAAGCGTAACAAAGCGCTGGGCAGGGGATACCAGGCTCTTTCTAACGGTATTCATGCAATAGTATAGGGGTTACAAACGCTCCAGTAGGCCCCGATGTCGCGTGCTTGCCGAGTTCTGACAGGCTTATTCAACTTTCTACAAGGCCGAAGCACTTCTCCAGGCGTGTTTCTGACTTATAAAAAATGCCTCGCCGGTGTTGCAGGGCTACGAACATGAACCTGTTTTTTTTTGTATACGCTTGTACTTCCGATGCGCAGTACAAAACGAAGCCGGCTCTCGCCAGTGCGAAGTTGTTGCAGGTATCCACAAGGGTTATACTCTGTATATGGGCGAAGGAAGCGCTTTGGCTGTCGCTTCTTTCCCAGTAGAGGCGGCAGCAACCAAGCGTTGACTCGTGCAGGTTTCATGTAGGGGGCGGTTACACACTAGGCGCAATGATTTCCATATGCGCGCTTAAACTAAGTGAGCGCGTGAAACAGCCGTGAGGCCAGGTTAGCTCGCTCCCGCTCGCCAATAAATATACAAGTGGAAAAATCATTTCTTCAAAATGAAGGGGGATGTAGGGATGGTGTAAATTATGAAAAAGGATACCAACAAGAAAGATGCTTCGGCTGAAAACAAAAATCATACATCCATCCCTACATCTTTCTTTAACCTCCACCTATGAGACAGGGTTCAGAGGTGAAGTCGCAGAGAGGGATGGGACAACCTCAACTGTGATTTGTTATGAATTAGTATACCCTGGGTATACTAATTCATTAACAATAGGTGGAGGTTAAAGAAAGATGTAGGGATGGATGTATGATTTTTGTTTTCAGCCGAAGCATCTTTCTTGTTGGTATCCTTTTTCATAATTTACACCATCCCTACATCCCCCTTCATTTTGAAGAAATGATTTTTCCACTTGTTCCACTTACTTTTTTGGCACATGCTCAGCCCCACCCTTTTCGCGGTGCAGAGCGGCAAGCGAGGGGCTGCACGCATTAGGGTTCACACACGCGTGGGTGGAAATTTATGCACTGCATATTTGTGACTTGAAGATTTGATCACACACACACTCACAGTGCATTGTGGGGGAAGGGGGGATGGTCGTGACGTAGTTTGCAATTTTGCGCAATTCTTGCGTGAGAGACTAGCGGGCACATGCGCAAGTACAAAACTAAACCAACATTCATTATACAATATGCTTTGTTGTGAATTGTGAATGAAAGTTTTTTTCTTTAGGAGAGGTCTATTCCAGCTGAAGTGAAAGGTGGAGGCCAGGGGTATATAGCTAGTAGCGACTGGGCAGTAGAAGCCAGAAGTTTGTAGGGTTCAGGTTGTAGCTTGAGAGTGCAGTTGCAGTCCAACCCATTTGAACATATAGCACCATCAAACCATAATACAGAGGAGTAGACAGACAATGTAAGGAGTAGGCTTACAATAGGAGTTGTTACTGTAACAAAGGCTAGGTTGGAAGTGGGATAAGGGTGAAGGAATGTACAAGTCAGCAGTGGTGATAAGGGAAAACACTTCAGAGCCCCACCTGCCAAGCAACTCCCAGATAATCTTATAATGGCTGGGTATCCTTCCCACTGTCTGTGTTACATCTATAGTGCAGCCATATCAGCAATATTTTCCTTCAACTGGGCAACAGCTGCCTTTTTCTTACCAGGGTCAGCATGATAGGAGGTCCCTAGCCACTTACCAGGGTCTGACTGACAAAGGGATCTACCTCTAGCCTTTATATTCTCGGAATTCTGCACATAATATCTACTGCCCTCCTTTTCAAGCGATAAGGCAAAAACTTGAACTTATCTCAAAGGATGGAGAAGCCCGGGTGGCAGTGACGACAGCAGAGCGGTGGTAGAGCGCAGTGGAGGGCCTTGCGATTGAAGAAACAGGGTGAGGTTCTTGTTATCAGCCACGACTGTCAGCAGAGAAGTGCTAGCTAGAGGCCAAGGGATGCAGGAAGGAGAGTTGTCAGGCACCCCTATTAAAATAGGCAATGAGGGTAATGCAGACAACTTGCCTTGAATCATAATTAACTGTGGCCCCAACTCCAGAAACCCAAGCCGCACAGACCTTGGAGTAAATTATACGTGATTTATATATATTCGTAATCGCAATAGCAAGACTTACTTTTGACCGTGGCGACTCCAGCACAATAGTAGCAGCAGTGCGGACAAGACAGACACGGAGTGTCACGTGGAGGCTGTCTCGTGAAGTCGTGGGGAAAATTCGTCGCGTGGAACCTCGAAAGAAAATTCACAATGAGCTGGATTGCAGCTAGCTAAAGTACACACAATAGTAACTCCTTACCACAAGACGGATAGCTAGGCCCAAATTCGGGAGCAAACTCAGGCGAGCGAAAAACAAGCCGCCAAACGGAGCACACGGCTAGCACCACGCGGTCCGCTCTCCCCTGCCTGGCGCATGCGCACGGCTCACTGGTGCTGAGTTAGCAGCAAATGGCGTTGTTCAGTGTCGACCATGGAAGAGCTCCATGATCTACCGTAGTGACTTGCGGCAAGAAAGAAACGATCGCTTGATGTCCGTGCACACCTCGGACGAGATTGGAGACGTTCAGTGAAAAAATCAGCGCTCCAACTGGTACTGGTAAGGAGAAAGCGGGTCTAAAGAAGAAGAAGAAGAAGAAGAAGAATATGATGACACGAAAATCAGAAATCGCGTATGAGCGGATTCTCGTGTCGAGAATTGCAGGGACATATGAAACTTCTGGGCATATGTATAGGTAGATATGGACCCGTGAGAGATTTTTGGTGTGTTTTGAAGGCATAGCTAGCCATTCTCGCCGAGTTTCGAGGCGTTTTGTACGCGGATCACGTGAGATTTCACTCGTGTCATCCCTACATAGAGCGTCTACCGACGCTCTGATTATGGTGAGTGTATGTTAACAGACTTGGCATAGAAAAAGATAGGATAGATCAGTCCTAAGACAGTATGAATAAGGATTAACTTTTTAGTGACTTGGCCAATATTACCACCATTAGAACTAGCTAATATTGTGTGGATAGCTTTTTTTTCAAAGGCAGTTATGGTTAATTGTAGTCCTTGGTGTACTCTGAGACCCTTTATTATGACCGTCAATGCAACAATTACTGGGAAAGATTTTTTGTCAACTCGGATGTTTACCTCAGTATAGTATTACCTACCACCATTAGTAGAAATAATATGGGATTTCTAAGTCAGCTATGGCTAATTATAGTCCTTGGTGTACTCTGAGACCCTTTCTTATGACCGTCAATTCTTGAAAGACTTTTTACTGGGTCAACTCCTATTATGTTGACCTCAGTATACATTGTAGTGGTACTGTATGGAATACATTATGTTTGTGTAGGATATGCAGACTACTGCTATTTTAGCCACTCTCTTACCGGATGTAAGTCAGGCCTAGTGTTGTTGTAAACCTCTGTACCTGACAGCAGATAGCTTTACTTTTTGATAGCTAGACTAGTTTTTTACCTGGAAAATGACTCTAGCTGTTCTGTTGCTCCTGGGTTTGTTCTGGTCTTTGGTGTACTGCAGACTTTCCTTATGTCTCCTTCATGAACCAGACTCTGACCAACCATTCCTATGTGGACCTCAGTCTAGTGGGGAGACCTTATTATGGTGGTGAAGTGTTCAGTGTCATACTGACCTGAGCACATGTTGTAATGGTAGTCAGGGTTTTCATCGTGGAGACTGGTATTTCCCTGATGGAACTAGACTGCCATTCTCAGGAAGTGGTGGTATCTATGAGTATCGTGCTGGTCGGAGAGTTTATCTAGGTCGCCGTAACAATCCCACCTCACCAACTGGTATCTATCGCTGTGACATTTCAACTAATGCTGTCCATGATAATACTGACATCTCAGTGAGAGACTCACCACTCTATGTATAGGACTGTATACTGCAAGTGGAGGTATGTTACTAATGTGTCCTATGGTATTATAGTGGAAAGACTTTTGCTGGGTTAACTCCTACGTATGTGGAACTCAATAATATAGCTATATAGTAGCAATTGCAGTGACAATGCGGAATGCGTAGGATGTGTAGGGTCTTGCTCTAGACTGCCTTTTGCTGCATCTAATGTTAATACCTTTGAGGTCCGTGAAACTCAGAGAGTTGACTTGCGTCGTAACCGTGGTACCAACTCATCAACTGTTGGTATCTATCGCTGTGATATTCCAACTAATGATGTCCATGATGATAGTGACATCTCAGTGAGAGACACAGTCTATGTGGGACAGTATACTGGTATGGGAGGTATGTAAGAAATGCACAATGGTGTTCTCATGAAAAGACTAAGCTTTAATAAACCCAGATAAATAATGGGGGGCCCCAAACCTAAGTAAACACAGCAATGATTAATTGTAAAAGACTGTGTGTAGTATGTTTGTGCAAAACAGGGTGACCAAAATCTGCCACAAAGTAATATTGTGTACTTGTTGAGTCTGTGGCTGTCCTTGCCTTGCAAGGAGTGGCAAACAATAAGTGAACCTCAGTCTATATTGGTGAACGGTATAGTAACCAGCATGACCCTGTGGAATGTTTCTGTTTGTGTAGGATGTGTAAAAATACTCACTGCTGTTTTTAGGCCATACTTGTGAATTTAAATCTGCAACAAGTGACTTGTAAGAGCTGGAGTAGCTAGTTTAGTTCTTGGAATATGGCTCTAGCTGTTCTGTTTCTCCTGGGCTTGTTCTGGTCTCTGGTGTACTGCCAGACCTTTCCTTATGTCTCCTTCATGAGACAGACTCTGGCCAACCATTCCTATGTGGACATCAGTCAAGTGGGGAATGATCCCAGTGGTAGTGACAGTGTTCAGTGTATCACTGACCTGAACACATGTTGTACTAGTAGGGAGGGTTCCCATCGTGGAGACTGGTACTTCCCTGATGGAACTAGACTGCCATTCTCTGGAGGTGGTGATATCTATGAGCAACGTGATGGTCGGAGTGTTGACATACGTCGTAGGAACAATGCTAACTCACCAACTGGCATCTATCTCTGTGATATTCCAACTAATGCTGTCCATGATGCCACTGACATCTCAGTGAGAGACACAGTCTATGTGGGACTGTATACTCCCAGTGGAGGTATATATGTTACTAATGTGTCGTAATGTTAACCAGACTTTGGCATAGAATAAAAGAGAGTAAGAATAGATCTGTCCATGACAGTGTAAAATGAGGATTAACTATTTAGCCACCTGCCTAGCAATATGTACCTACCACCATTAGTAGAAATAATATGGGATTTCCCCGTTTGACTTTTCCCAAGAGGAACCTGTCAGTCTAGGGCTAATCGTAATACTTGTTTTATTCTGAGGCCCTTTCTTATGACTGTCAATGCAACAATTATTGGGAAAGACTTTTTACTGGGTCAATTCCCTATTTGTTGACCTCAGTATACAGTGTAGTGGTACTGTGTGGAATACATAATATTATTTGTGTAGGATGTATAATTACAAGTAGAAAAATCATTTCTTCAAAATGAAGGGGGATGTAGGGATGGTGTAAATTATGAAAAAGGATACCAACAAGAAAGATGCTTCGGCTGAAAACAAAAATCATACATCCATCCCTACATCTTTCTTTAACCTCCACCTATGAGACAGGGTTCAGAGGTGAAGTCGCAGAGAGGGATGGGACAACCTCAACTGTGATTTGTTATGAATTAGTATACCCTGGGTATACTAATTCATTAACAATAGGTGGAGGTTAAAGAAAGATGTAGGGATGGATGTATGATTTTTGTTTTCAGCCGAAGCATCTTTCTTGTTGGTATCCTTTTTCATAATTTACACCATCCCTACATCCCCCTTCATTTTGAAGAAATGATTTTTCTACTTGTTCCACTTACTTTTTTGGCACATGCTCAGCCCCACCCTTTTTGCGGTGCAGAGCGGCAAGCAAGGGGCTGCACGCATTAGGGTTCACACATGCGTGGGTGGAAATTTATGCACTGCATATTTGTGACTTAAAGATTTGATCGCACACACACTCACAGTGCATTGTGGGGGGAGGGGCGATGGTCGTGACGTAGTTTGCAATTTTGCGCAATTCTTGCGTGAGAGACTAGCGGGCACATACGCAAGTACAAAACTAACCCAACATTCATTATACAAATGCTTTGTTGTGAATTGTGAATGAAAGTTATTTTCTTTACGAGAGGTCTATATATTCCAGCTGAAGTGAAAGGTGGAGGCCAGGGGTATATAGCTAGTAGCGACTGGGCAGTAGAAGCCAGAAGTTTGTAGGGTTCAGGTTGTAGCTTGAGAGTGCAGTTGCAGTCCAACTCCTTTGAACATATAGTATGCACCATCAATACAGAGGAGTAGACAGACAATGTAAGGAGTACACTTACAATATGAGTTGTTAGTGTAACAAAGGCTAGGTTTGAAGTGGGATAAGGGTGAAGGGATGTACAAGTCAGCAGTGGTGATAAGGGAAAACACTTCAGAGCCCCACCTGCCAAGCAACTCCCAGATAATCTTATAATGGCTGGGTATCCCTCCCACTGTCTGTGTTACATCTATAGTGCAGCCATATCAGCAATATTTCCCTTCAACTGGGCAACAGCCGCCTTTTTCTTACCAGGGTCAGCATGATAGCCGCTTACCAGGGTCTGACTGGCAAAGGGATCTACCTCTAGCCTTTATAATATTTTCGGAATTCTGCACATAATATCTACTGCCCTCCTTTTCAAGCGATAAGGCAAAAACTTGAACTTATCTCAAAGGATGGAGAAGCCCGGGTGGCAGTGACGACAGCAGAGCGGTGGTAGAGCGCAGTGGAGGGCCTTGCGACTGAAGGAACAGGGTGGTGTTCTGTTACCAGCTACGACTGTCAGCAGAGAAGTGCTAGTTAGAGGCCGAGGGATGCAGGTGGAACTGGAAGGAGAGTTGTCAGGCACCCCTATTAAAATAGGCAATGAGGGTAATGCAGACAACTTGTCTTGAATCATAATTCTGTGGCCCCAACTCCAGAAACCCAGACCTTGGAGTAAATTATACGTGATTTACGTATATTCGTAATCACAATAGCAAGACTTACATTTGACCGTGGCGACTCCAGCACAATAGTAGCAGCAGTGCGGACAAGACAGACACGGAGTGTCACGTGGAGGCTGTCTCGTGAAGTCGTGGAAAAAATTCGTCGCGTGGAACCTCGAAAGAAAATTCACAATGAGCTGGATTGCAGCTAGCTAAGTACACACAATAGTAACTCCTTACCACAAGACGGATAGCTAGGCCCAAATTCAGGAGCAAACTCAGGCGAGCGAAAAACAAGCCGCCAACACCACGCGGTCCGCTCTCCCCTGCTTGGCGCATGCGCACGGCTCACTGATGCTGAGTTAGCAGCAAATGGCGTTGTTCAGTGTTGACCATGGGAGAGCTCCATGATCTGTAGTAGTGACTTGCGGCAAGAAAGAAACGATCGCTTGATGTCCGTGCACACCTCGGACGAAATTGGAGACGTTCAGTGAAAAAATCTTCGCTCCAACTGGTACTGGTAAGGAGATAGCGGGTTTAAAGAAGAAGAAGAAGAAGAATAAGATGACACGAAAATCAGAAATCGCGTATGAGCGGATTCTCGTGTCGAGAATTGCAGGGACATATGAAACTTCTGGGCATATGTATAGGTAGATATTGACCCGTGAGAGATTTTTGGTGTGTTTTGAAGGCATAGCTAGCCATTCTCGCCGAGTTTCGAGGCGTTTTGTACGCGGATCACGTGAGATTTCACTCGTGTCATCCCAACATAGAGCGTCTACCGACGCTCTGATACAGACCATTGCTTACTGCTATTTTAGCAACTCTCTAACCGGATGTAAGTTAGACCTAATGTTGTTGTAAACCACTACAACAGCAAAGAGCTTTACTTTTTGATAGCTAGACTAGTTTTTTTACTTCAAGAATGGCTCTAGCTGTTCTGTTGCTCCTGGGCTTGTTCTGGTCTCTGGTTCACTCTCAGAGGGCTCCTTATGCCTCCTTCATGGGCCAGACTATGGCCAACCATTCCTATGTGGACCTCAGTCTAGTGAGGAGACCTGAGGATGGTGGTGAAGGTGTTCAGTGTATCACTGACTTGAACACATGTTGTACTAATGTTGATGGTTCTCATCGTGGAGACTGGTATTTCCCTAATGGAACTAGACTGCCAATCCCCACTTATGGTGATACATATGAGTTTCGTGCAGCTCAGAGAGTTGACTTACGTCGTAGGAACAATGTTAACTCACCAGTTGGTATCTATCGCTGTGATATTCCAACTAATGTTGTCCATGATGATACTGACATCTCAGTGAGAGACACAGTCTATGTTGGACTGTATACTGCCAGTGGAGGTATGTTACTAATAGTATTATGGTGAGTGTATGTTAACCAGACTTGGCATAGAAAAAGATAGGATAGATCAGTCCTAAGATGGTATACATGAGGATTAACTTTTTAGCGACTTGGGCCAATATTACCACCATTAGAACAAATATTTTGGGGATAGCTATTTTTTCAAAGGCAGCTACAGTTAATTGTAGTCCATGGTGTACTCTGATACCCTTTCTTATGCAACAACAATTGGGAAGGACTATTTTGCTGGGTCAACTCATATGTTGACCTCAGTATACAGTGTATAGTGGTATATACTGTGTGGAATACATTATTTGTGTAGGATGTGCAGACCATTGCTCACAGACCATTACTCACTGCTATTATTGCAACTCTCTTACCGGATGTAAGTTAGGCCTAATGTTGTTGTAAACCTCTGCAACAGCAAAGAGCTTTACTTTTTGATAGCTAGACTAGTTTATTAGCTACCAGGAAAATGGCTCTAGCTGTTCTGTTGCTCCTGGGCTTGTTCTGGTCTCTGATGTACTGCCAGACCTTTCCTTATGTCTCCTTCATGGGCCAGAATCTGGCCAACCATTCCTATGTGGACCTCAGTCTAGTGGGGAGTGATCGCAGTGGTAGTGACAGTGTTCAGTGTCATACTGACCTGGGCACATGTTGTCGTAGTGTTGATGGTCAACATCGTGGAGACTGGTATTTCCCTAATGGAACTAGACTGCCTTTTTTTTATGGTGTTATCTTTGAGAGTCGTGGTTCTCAGAGAGTTAATGTACGTCGTAGGAACAATGCTAACTCACCAACTGGTATCTATCGCTGTTATATTCCAACTAATGCTGTCCATCATGATGATATATATCTCAGTGAGAGACACAGTCTATGTGGGACTGTATACTGGCAGTGGAGGTATGTTACTAATGTGTCCTAATGTTAACCAGTGGCATAGAATAAAAGAGAGTGAGAATAGATCTGTCCATGACAGTGTAAAATGAGGATTAACTTTTTAGCCACCTGCCTAGCAATATGTACCTACCACCATTAATATGGGCTCTCTAAGACAGCTATGGCTATTCGTAACCCTTGGTTTACTCTGAGACCCTTTCTTATGACCGTCAATGCAACAATATTGGGAAAGACTTTTTACTGGGTCAACTCCTACCTGGACCTCAGTATAGTCACACTGTGTGGAATATGTTTGTGTAGGATGTGTACACAGCATTGCTCACTGCTATTTTAGCCACTCTCTTACCGGATGTAAGTCAGGCCTAATGTTGTTGTAAACCTCTGTAACAGCAGATAGCTTTACTTTTTGATAGCAAGACTAGTTTATTAGCTACCAGGAAAATGGCTCTAGCTGTTCTGTTGCTCCTGGGCTTCTTCTGGTCTCTGGTGTACTGCCAGACCTTTCCTTATGTCTCCTTCATGAGCCAGACTCTGGCCAACCATTCCTATGTGGACCTCAGTCTAGTGGGGAGACCTGATGGTGGTGATGAAGGTGTTCAGTGTATCACTGACCTGACCACATGTTGTAATCATACTGTTGGTCCTTATCGTGGAGACTGGTATTTCCCTGATGGAACTCAACTGCCTTTTGCTGCACCTGGTATTGGTACCTTTGAGGTTCGTGAAGCTCAGAGAGTTGACATACGTCGTAACGGTAATGCTAACTCACCAACTGGTATCTATCGCTGTGATATCCCAACTAATGCTGTCCATGATGCCACTGACATCTCAGTGAGAGACACACCAGTCTATGTTGGACTGTATACGGCCAGTGGAGGTATGTACGAAATGCACAATGGTGTTCTCATGAAAAGACTAAGCTATAGTGCTTGCTTACTTACCCCAGATAAATAAAGTAATTATTAATTGTACCAAGGACTGTGCATAGTATGTTTGTGCAAAGCAATGGTGGCCAAAATCTGCCACTACCTAGCCTGTGTTTGAAATATGCCTTAGCTACAGTAATTGTGTACCTGCTGAGTCTGCGGCTGTCCTTGCCTTGCAGGGAGTGCAAATGATAAGTGAACCTCAGTCTATATTGGTGAACAGTATAGTAACCAACATGACTATGTGGAATGTTTCTGTTTGTGTAGGATGTGTAAAAACACTCACTGTTGTGTTTAGGCCGTACTTGTGAATTTAATTCTGCAACAAGTGACTTTGATAACAAGTGACTTGTGATAGCTAAAGTAGCAAGTTCTTTGGAAATGGCTCTAGCTGTTCTGTTGCTCCTGGGCTTGTTCTGGTCTCTGGTGTGCTGCCAGACCTTTCCTTATGTCTCCTTCATGAGCCAGACTCTGGCAAACCATTCCTATGTGGACCTCAGTCTAGTGGGGAGACCTGACTTTGGTGATGGTGAAGGTGTTCAGTGTACTATCACTGACCTGGGCACATGTTGTCGTGGTGCTGATGGTCCTCAACGTGGAGACTGGTCCCTGATGGAACTAGACTGCCTTTTGCTTATCCTGATGTTGATACCTTTGAGTTTCGTGGTTGTCAGAGAGTTGACATACGTCGTAACACTAATGCTAACTCACCAACTGTTGGTATCTATCGCTGTGATATTCCAACTAATGCTGTCTATGGTAATACTGACATCTCAGTGAGAGACACAGTCTATGTGGGACTGTATACTGGCAGTGGAGGTATGTAAGAAATGCACAGTGGTGTTCTCATGAAAAGACTAAGCTATAGTGCTTGCTTACTTACCCCAGATAAATAACGGGGGCCTAAGTAAACACAGCAATTATTAATTGTACAAGGACTGTGCGTAGTATGTTTGTGCAAAGCAATGGTGACCAAAACCTGCCACTAGCTGTTAGCCTGTGTTTGAAATATATATGCCTTGGCTTGTGTACCTGTTGAGTCTGTCAGTCCTTGCCTTGCAGGGAGTGCAAATGATAAGTGAACCTCAGTCTATATTGGCGAACTGATTTGTTTATTGTACAAGGACTGTGTGTAAAATGTTTGTGCACAACAGGGTGACCAAAATCTACCACTAAGTAATATTGTGTACCTGATTAGTCTGTCAGTCCTTGCCTTGCAGGGAGTGACAAATGATAAGTGAACCTCAGTCTATATTGGTGAACAGTAGTAACCACCATGACTATGTGGAATGTTTCTGTTTGTGTAGGATGTGTAAAAACACTCACTGTTGTGTTTAGGCCATACTTGTGAATTTAATTCTGCAACAAGTGACTTTGATAACATTATTCATTGTAAAAGGACTGTGTGTAGTATGTTTGTGCAAAACAAGGTGACCACCACTAAGTAATTCGTGTACTTGTTGAGTCTGTCAGTCCTTGCCTTGCAGGGAGTGGCAAACAATAAATGAACCTCAGTCTATATTGGTGAACAGTAGTAACGGTGACTATGTGGAATGCTTCTGTTTGTGTAGGATGTGTAAAACGTGCACACTGCTGTTTTTAGGCCCGTACTTGTGTGAATTTCGGTCTGCAACAAGTGACTTGCGATAGCTGTTGTAGCTATTTCTTGGCAAATGGCTCTAGCTGCTCTGTTGCTCCTGGGCTTCTTCTGGCCTCTGGTGTACTGCCAGACCTTTCCTTATGTCTCCTTCATGGACCATACTCTGGCCAACCATTCCTATGTGAACCTCAGTCTAGTGGGGAGACCTGATCTTCCTAATAGTGGTGAAGGTGTTCAGTGTATCACTGACCTGAACTCATGTTGTCGTGGTACTGATGGTCCTCATCGTGGAGACTGGTATTTCCCTGATGGAATTAGACTGCCTTTCCCTGCACCTAATATTGATACCTTTGTGACTCGTGAAAACCAGAGAGTTGACTTACGTCGTAACACTAATGCCAACTCACCAACTGGTATCTATCGCTGTGATATTCCAACTATTGCTGTCCATGATGATCATGACAGATCAGTGAGAGACACAGTCTATGTGGGACTGTATACTGCCAGTGGAGGTATGTTACTAATGTGTCCTATGGTACTATATATGGTGGAAAAATATTTTTGCTGGGTGAACTCCTACATATTACATATGTGGAACTCAATACAGCTATAAAGTAGTAATTTCAGTGACTATGCAGAATGCGTAGGATGTCGAGGGTAATTACTCAGTGCTATTTTAACCACTTTCCATCCAGGATGTGTAAGTAGTTATTATAACAAAAGAGAGTTTTAAATTTTGATAGCTAGACTAGTTTTTTTACCCGGAAAATGGCTCTAGCTGTTCTGTTGCTGTTGGGCTTGTTCTGGTCTCTGGTGTACTGCCAGCAGACCTTTCCTTATGTCTCCTTCATGAGCCAGACTCTGGCCAACCATTCCTATGTGGACCTCAGTCTAGTGGGGAATGATGGCGGTAGTAGTAACAGTGTTCAGTGTACCACTGACCTGCCCACATGTTGTCGTGGTAGTGATGGTCCTCATCGTGGAGACTGGTATTTCCCTAATGGAACTAGACTGCCATTCCCTACTTATGGTGATATCTATGAGAGTCGTGTTTCTCAGAAAGTTGATCTACGTCGTAGGAACAATGCTAACTCACCAGTTGGTATCTATCGCTGTGATATTTCAACTGGTGCTGCCAATGATAATGACATCTCAGTGAGAGACACAGTCTATGTGGGACTGTATACTTCCAGTGGAGGTAATGCTAACGGGAAGAGTCACTGTAAACAAGACTGCCATTGGTTAACCAGTATTTATGGACCTCAGGTATATAACTTTTCATGTTTGTTTAGTTCACCTTTTTCTCTTCAGTCCTTCCATTCTATCTGTCACTGTGATATTTAGTAGTGAGGATGTCTCAGTGAAAGAGGGAGGCACTTTTGGTGCATCAGTTTTTCTTGCTTTGGGGAACTCAGATTCCTTCACTGATAGTTTACCAACACACACTTTCTGGGCTACTGTATTCCCAATACTCTTTGTTATCTGGTCTACCATTCCTTGGCTACGTATAATTATCTCAAGCCAACAATGCTGCTAAGTGTATACGTACACCTTTATTTTAGATGCTGTTTATAATTGTTTAGGTGATGTTACAATACCTGGAGGTGTGACATATGATTTTAACACACAAACCCTCACCTGTATCTCCACTGGTGGACCTGCTACCACTGTCACTTGGACCAGAGACTCCACCACTGTCACCCAAGGAACCCAGACTGTGTTTAATGACCCAGTGACTGCACAGTACACCCACACTCTGAACGTGGCTGGAGGACTGCCTGGACTGTACACATGTACTGTGACTAACAACAAACCATCTAATGCTTCTGCTAGGATAACTCTTCCAGGTATGACCCAGTAGCTAGTGTAATTTTACAAACAGTGTGAACGATTACGTTATATAGGTCTCCCACCTCCAACTGGTGTGACAGCAGTCGAGATGGTCCCAATAGTATTTAAAGCCTATATAGGACATGCGGTTCTTAGTTGCAGGATCTCAAAAAAACTTTCTACTTGACTAATGTCATTTAAAGTGTTTCTTTCCTGCAGAGGTTGTTACTGTAGTGTGTTCATACCTACAGATAAACCGGAAGAAGTCAGGTTCCTCCCAGTGAATGCCACAGCAGTCAGAATCTCATGGAGTGCCAGTGTCTACCTCTCCACCTCCATCATCTACACTGTCTATTGCTCCACTATAATTATGAGACAGTATGAGAGGGTTTACTCACACGGAGCGACTTTTGCTGACATTGTTCTGGAAGATGACATCACTCTTACTGATATTTACGTTCACAGCTTCACTCTCTATTACATATTTCCAGATGATGTCATCCCAAACCAGACTGTAGCAATCTTTACTTTCGGTAAAGGAGTTGTTAGTCTTTGGTTTCAGATTTAGTGGTTTTTCTCAACAGATAAGGGTGTCTTTCAGATTCAGTTTGGGCCATTTTACTACTGCCTCGACTCAGTAGTAAGTTAATTTTGTAAAACAAGGTTGTTCACTTCTTTGCTCCATTTCTTAGTTCAAGAAGATTGCTCGTGCCATTGAAGAACAGCTACAGTTGTACTTGATTGTCATCATACGTAAAAGCTGCCCCGAGTGTTACAGTTTAACACGTACATTTCTGAGGCCAGGATTGTTCTTTGCCATGGCAACCCCACCAAGACCACCTACCGCACCACTCTAGTTAACCCTTTCCCCACCACAAACTCCACCCACATGGTGGGCATTATTCAGAGTTGGGTGTCCACGGGTCCCTCTCTCGTCCTCGACGGTCTGCTGGTGAGGGTGAGTCCCTCCTGCCCCACCTCTATCTCCAGTCTCGATGAAGAAGAGTGTGAGACTGGAACCAGGTATGATCCGGGACTGGGGGACAGGATCACTCAGACACTCAATGTCTGTGCTCTGAGGAACCTCGGAGAGGATGTCTGTCGTCTTGGTGGCTGCTGAAACTATACTCTTAGAGTGTGTCGTGTATATTCTGCGAACTTCTAGATGTAGTTCGGTTCATAACTGTAGTGAAAGTACTAGCTATATAATATACTAGTGTTTTGTTGTATAGTTACTCCATTTTCTTATGCTGCTGTAGTGTTAATAGTAGGCAAACAGTCTGTACTGTAGTATGATGTGTGAAATTGGAACTGAGGTCCCTACATTTCAGTCAATCATATATAGTGCAAGCAGAGCAATCCTAAAATTGTCTGGTCAATTTATTGGATAACTGTGTCACATTTGCTTCAGTGGTACATTTTAATACTAACCGATAAAGGACACTTGTAGCAAAGAGCTTATAGATTTGAGTATTAGTCGTATCTGCTCTTTAAGACAGAGCAGGGTGGGTTCCTGAACACTGTGAGAAAATATCTCTAATCCGCTTGCCAGTGTAGTCAATTTCCATGAGTTGGTTTACCACTACATCCACTACACCATTCTCTTTCTTCCTATCACCTGTGTATAATATATAGGCCACTATAAAGTGTATAGAGGCTCCTCCTGAAAGGTTCAACACAGACGGTCGCGTCTACAACATTCAAGCCGTCAGTTTCACTCCCGGAGAACTGGTGGAGGAGATGAAGAAACACGTCGACGATTTTGTCGTTGAGTATCGTCCTGACAAGAGGCAGGCAATTGGTGGGTGTGGCCTAGGGAGATTAGTGGGAGGGGCTTAGACTGGAATTTAGTACATATATACAATGTACAAAGATGACGTAAATACTGGAGTATGCTTTTCTGCTGCCATCTGCATAATAAACCAAACAACTCACGCTTTCACAAGAAGGCAGAAAAACTACAGAGAGAGACACATGAAGTTTAAATTTAAACAAGGCTTTACTAAAGCACAAACAATGCAAGCGAACGAACACAAGTGCAAAATTACACCATTCACATGGCACAATTTATTCATGCGACTGGGTCGAGCTTGCTGTCTGCCAATAAGGACCTTTATCATTAGGGTGATGCGACAATCCTAATCCCCTCCATCTATCTTCCATCCCTCCCTCTCAGCTGACAGTTGGCCAGATACACTACTGGACTCTGCTGCCAGGGAAGCTCTGAACTGGACCCCGCACTACGACCTTCCAAATATGGTCGACATCATGATTAGAGATATCGGGGGAATCGTTGAAAACGAGAAGAAGAGACAAAACTTGACTTAAAACTAGAACTGCATTTCGTATTTTTTTTAGTTGTTCCTTGAAAACAAAGATTTGTACACTATAATATCTGACCATGACTTATATTCCATCTTCATTCTCCTTCATGTGGGTGGTTTGTAGGATGATCATTTTACTGAGTAATATTGGATTGGTTCACTCTAATCTCCGACCATAGCTATAGTAAATCCATTCTATAACCACACATTTTGTGTGTAAGTTTGGTATGTGGGATATGTAATCATTTTTGCTGGCGTTGCAGTAATCAGCAATAGAGAAACATGGCCATGATTCCTTTGCTATGGCTGATGTTGGTCTGCTGGTCTGTGGGAGAAGTATACTGCCAGACCTTTCCCCATGTCTCCTTCATGAGCCAGACTCTGGCCAACCATGCCTATGTGGACATCGGTCAAGTGGGGAGTGCTGGCAGTGGTAGTGACGGTGTTCAGTGCCATACTAACCTGGACACATGTTGTACTAGTAGTTATGGTGGTCATCGTGGAGACTGGTATTTCCCTGATGGAACTAGACTGCCATTCTCAGGAAGTGGTGATATCTATCAGCAACGTGCTGGTCAGAGAGTTGACATACGTCGTAGGAACAATGCTAACTCACCAACTGGTGTCTATCGTTGTGATATTCCAACTAATGCTGTCCATGATGATACTGACGGATCAGTGAGAGACACAGTCTATGTGGGACTGTACACTGCCAGTGGAGGTATGTTACTAATGTGTCCTAATGTTAACCAGTGGCATAGAATAAAAGAGAATGCGAATAGATCTGTCCATGACAGTGTAAAATGAGGATTAACTTTTTAGCCACCTGCCTAGCAATATGTACCTACCATCATTAGTATAACTAATATGGGATTTCCAAGTGATATTCCAACTATTGCTGTCTATGATAATGACATCTCAGTGAGAGACACAGTGTATGTGGGACTGTACACTGGCAGTGGAGGTGTGTTCTCTGCATAATAGTGCTCGCTTGATTAACCCAGATAAATAATCTTAAGTATACACAGCAATGATTTGTGTAGTATGTTTGTGCAAAACAAGGTGACCAAAATCAACCACTAATAATATTGTGTACCTGCTGAGTCTGTCAGTCCTTGCCTTGCAGGGAGTGGCAAACAATAAGTGAACCTCTGTCTATATTGGTGAACAGTATAGTAACCAACATGACTATGTGGAATGTTTCTGTTTGTGTAGGATGTGTAAAACACACTCACTGCTGTTTTTAGGCCATACTTGTGAATTTCAGTCTGCGACAAGTGACTTGTGATAGCTAGAGTAGCTAGTTCTTGGCAAATGGCTCTAGCTGTTCTGTTGCTCCTGGGCTTGTTCTGGTCTCTGGTGTACTGCCAGACCTTTCCTTATGTCTCCTTCATGGGCCAGACTCTGGCCAACCATGCCTATGTGGACCTCAGTGAAGTGGGGAATGATCTTAGTGGTAGTGACAGTGTTCAGTGTATCACTGACCTGAGCACATGTTGTAGTAGTGCTCACGGTGCTCATCGTGGAGACTGGTATTTCCCTAATGAAACTAGACTTCATTTCTATTGGAACATTCGTGAGTCTCGTGGAGATCAGAGTGTTTTCTTACGTCACCAACCTGACACTCCCAACTCACCAACTGGTATCTATCTCTGTGATATTCCAACTATTGCTGTCTATGATGATCGTGACATCTCAGTGAGAGACACAATCTATGTGGGACTGTACACTGGCAGTGGAGGTAATGCTAACTGGAATAAATCACAGAGTCACTATAAACAAGACTGCCATTGACTAACCATTATTTATGGACCTCAAATATAATTTTTAATGTTTGTTTAGTTCACCTATCATGTCTCTTCACTCAGTGCTTCCATTCTATCTGTCACTGGTATTTTGTAGTAGCTAAGGATGTCTTAGTGAAAGAGGGAGGCGTTTTATGCACTTCGGGTACATCAGTTCAATCTTTCACTGTTGGTTTAGCAACTAACACGTCACTTTCTGTTCCATATACTCTTTGTTATCTCGTCAAGGTCTACATTTACTTGGCTATGTGTACCTCAAGCCAACAATGCTGCTAAGTGTAAACATGCCATTACATGCTGTTTATAATTGTGTAGGTAGTGTTTCAATTGCTGGAGGTGTGACATATGATTCTAACACACAAACCCTCACCTGTATCTCCACTGGTGGACCTGCTACCACTGTCACTTGGACCAGAGACTCCACCACTGTCACCCAAGGAACCAATACTGTGTTGAATGACCCAGTGACTGCACAGTACACCCACACTCTGACAGTGACTACTGCAGGAGAGTACACGTGTACTGTGGCTAATAACAAGCCATCGTCTGCTTCAGCTAGCACTGTTGTAGGAGGTGAAATGTCCGCAAATCACTGTTTTGGCATGCAGGCTAAAAACCAGCGAACACTAGAGGAATGCAACACATTTTTGGCAAGTGAAGCAAGCAGTTCTGCATTACGGTATGTGCCCCTTTCATTCGGACAGGCTTGATTCGCTCGCCAATTATGTGAAATGAGGACATAGATGCACGTTTTACTCTCAGTGTTTACAAAGCTACTGGTATATACTTTCCAAGTGCTCGTGAACCACATAAAGTATCTTAGTAAGCAATTAATTTGACAAGGGCTACCACGTCTACACTGATAGATACTATACGAGCATTTCCCTTGCAAATGCGCTGGAGGAGCGATCAACCTCATTCTGATTATGTCAATATTGGTAGTTGTGAAAGTGTCACTCTACACCAAAGGTCGGCGGGTCCAAACTAAGCATGATATTTCCTCAACACTACAAATTGAAGTAACTATGGATTTCATTTCTGCACCTCCCAATTTTAGTATAATTGAGTAATTTATTTTCAGGTCCCCCATCTCCCACTGATGTGTCAGCAGTCCAGAGTGGACCCACTAGTATCACAGTGACCTGGACACCTCCTGATCCTCTTGATGGTATCACTGGCTACACCATCTCCTACACTGGCAGTGGTAGTGAGGCTGTCAGAGGTGGAAACACTATGAGTCACACTCTGACTGGTCTCACCAATGGACAGACCTACACCATATCCATTGTAGCCACAACCAATGAGCTGAATGGGCTATCCAGTGCACCAGTACAGGTCACTGTTGGTTTAGGTATGTCAAAACACTTTAGGTGTTTCACAATTTACACCAGAATGAAAGAGCACCTGCGTGTGTAGCAGGGCCAAACAAAGCAAGCAAGTCAACTACACCCTATGCAGTTTGAAAAGAAGAGCTGCCCTAACTTTCCATTGTGTACTGTCTTTTTCCCACCACAGTTCCATCAGCTCCAGTCCTTGACTCAACTCCAACAGTCACTGCCACTACCGTCACCATCACCGGTAGTGTTCCCAGTGGCTCAGTGGTGACTGACTATGTGGTCCAGTGGCAGAGAGACAGCTCACTTGTCTGTCCTGATCTTAATGATGATGGTAGTATCACTGAAACTAGCAGTAGTTTCACTGGCCATACAATAACTGGACTAGAGCCTGATAATAGGTACACCATCACTGTGACATTCTATAATGGAGCTGGTAGTGGTCCTATCAGTAATGCTGTTACTGCAATGACTACTGCGACTGGTAAGGCGTACTGTATGATTCCCAAGTTCCTTACAATATGGTTGGTGTTACTCTCCACAGCTCCCAGTGGTGCTCTTGGTCCAATCACTCTAGTTACAGTCACACCAAACAGTGCCACTGTCCAGTGGGGAGAGGTGCCTTGTCCCCAGAGAAATGGAGAGATCACGGATTACACAGTTACTGTAACCAATTCGGGTGGAATGGAAGAAGGAACTGCTATTGTTGATGTGGACGCTAGACAAGCCACAATCTCTGGACTGAATACATCCACACAATATACTGTGTCAGTAGCTGCAGTCAATAGTGCTGGTACTGGACCTACCACTACCCTCGCTGTGGAAACTCTAGGTGAGTAGGTTGTAAAGGTGGGATCACAATATGTTTCATTGCCCCGTTGCACCACGCCACATGGCCCTAGACCTTGTGGTGGGACTGGAGAGAACATCCTACGCTGTCTCAGAACCAGAGGAAGCTGTTGAGATCTGTATCACTGCAGTAGGAGGCAGTACTCCATGTCCCATCACTCAGTCTTTTCAGGTCACCCTTTCAACCACTGATGAAAGTGCAGGTATAGCTATATTGCTTGATTATATGCTCAGTTAAAATCACTAGCAGAAACACTGTTCTTGCTCTAGTGAGCCCTTCAGACTATGAAGCTGTGAGTGAAGTGTTGACATTTGCTCCCTGTGACACCCAACATTGTGTGAATGTGAGCATCATAGATGATCTGGTGAACGAACCAAAGAGGAGGAGACATTTTCCATCAGTCTCAATAAGATATCATCATTCGTAACTCTCAGTACAGCTGCTCGAGAGGTGCTCATTACTGATGATGATGGTAAGGAGATTAAAGCCAAGGACAAGGTTTAGTGGTAAATGCTAATGAACAGGATTTCCAAAAGAAACTTTCTACTTTCATTTTATTTCTCACTAAAAAATGTGTTCATACCTACAGGAAAGCCAGAAGAAGTCAGGTTCCTCCTGGTGGATGCCACAGCTGTCAGGATCTCCTGGAGTGGCAGTGTCCACCTCCCCACGTCCATCATCTACACTGTCTATTGCTCCACGACCGTCGTTAAGAAAAATGAGAGGGTTTACCCACCTGGAGTGACCTCAGCTGATGTTGCGTTGGAAGATGACATCATCCTCACTTGTACCTCTTACGTGCACAACTTTACGCTTTATTATGGTGATGTCATCCCTTCGCCAGGGAATAACCCTTCAACATTGACAACCTTTACTTTTGGTAAAGAATAGAGATAGATGCTTTTGTGGTGTGTGATAAATAGTTTATCCCTGTATATATAGACATAGACAAAGTGTACCTTCAGATTCAGTTTGGGCCTTTTTACTACTGCCTCAGCTGGGAAGTAAGTCTCTTAGAATGTAAGACTGCAAAAAAATGCCTATTATAACTATTGTTGTTTTGCAGTATATTATAAGACTAACTGATAAAGGACACTTCTCTATGTAGCAAAGAGCTTATAGATGTCATCTGCATAATAAACAAGACGACTCATGATTTCACAAGGAGAAAGAAAAAACTATAGAGAGAGAGACATGAAAATATAAAACAAGGCTTAACTAAAGCACAAACAATGCGAGTGAACGAACACAAGTGCAAAATTACACCATTTACAATTTATTCATGCGACTGGGTCGAGCTTGCTGTCTGCCAATAAGGCCCTTTATCATTAAGGTAATGCAACTCATAATCCCCTCCATCTATCTTCCATCTCTCCCTCTCAGCTGACAGTTGGCCAGATACACTACTGGACTCTGCTGCCAGGGAAGCTCTGGACTGGACCCCACACTACGACCTTCCAAATATGGTCGACATCATGATCAGAGATATCGGGGGAATTGTTGAAAATGAGAAGAAGAGACAAAACTTGACTTAACACTAGAACTGAAACAGTGGCCTTTTGTATTTTTGTAGTTGTTTATGTTATGAAGATTACTGTACTGTTGTTGTTTCTGACATTATCTATGGTAATTCTCATCCTCTTTTATGTGGATGAAAAGATAATCAAATTTTTAGGATAATCAATACTTCCGTTTTGCTGGTTGATCTATCAATGTGGGTAGATAGTAGCTAGTAGTGATAATTAATACTTCCTTTCGGCTCGTGATTCAGCAGTTGTGTGGATAGAGAAAAAATGGCTGTGATTCACATGTTATGGCTGATGATGGTCTGCTGGTCTGTGGGAGAAGTATACTGCCAGACCTTTCCTTATGTCTCCTTCATGAGCCAGACTCTGGCCAACCATTCCTATGTGAACCTCAGTCTAGTGGGGAATGATTTCAGTGACAGTGTTCAGTGTATCACTGACCTGAGCACATGTTGCAGTAGTACTCAGGGTCTCCATCGTGGAGACTGGTATTTCCCTGATGGAACTAGACTGCCTTTCAATAGAGATAATGTTGGTATCTATGAGGTCCGTGAACCTCAGAGAGTTGAGCTACATCGTAGGAACAATGCTAACTCACCAACTGGTATCTATCGCTGTGATATTCCTGTCCATGATGAAAATGACATCTCAGTGAGAGACACAGTCTATGTGGGACTGTATACTGCCAGTGGAGGTATGTTACTAATGTGTCCTAATGTTAACCAGTGGCACAGAATAAAAGAGAGTGAGAGTAGATCTGTCCATGACAGTGTAAAATGAGGATTAACGTTTTAGCCACCTGCCTATCAATATGTACCTACCACCATTAGTATATAGAACTACTATGGGATTTCGAAGACAGCTATGGCTAATCATAGCCTTGGTTTACTCTGAGACCCTTTCTTATGAAGCCGTCAATGCAAAATATTGGGAAAGACTTTTTACTGGGTCAACTCCTACCTGGACCTCAGTATAGTCACACTGTGTGGAATACGTTATTTGTGTAGGATGTGAAGACCATTGCTCACTGCTATTTTAGCCACTCTCTTACCGGATGTAAGTCAGGCCTAATGTTGTTGTAAACCTCTGTAACAGCAGATAGCTTTACTTTTTGATAGCTAGACTAGTTTTTTAGCTGCCTCGAGAATGGCTCTAGCTGTTCTGTTGCTCCTGGGCTTGTTCTGGTCTCTGGTGTACTGCCAGACCTTTCCTTATGTCTCCTTCATGAGCCAGACTCTGGCCAACCATTCCTATGTGGACCTCAGTCTAGTGGGGAATGATGACGGTGGTAGTGACAGTGTTCAGTGTATCACTGACCTGAACACATGTTGTAGTAGTGCTGAGGGTGCTCATCGTGGAGACTGGTATTTCCCTGATGGAACTCAACTGCCTTTCAATGGAGATAATGTTGGTATCTATGAGATTCGTGAAACTCAGAGAGTTGATCTACGTCGTAGGAACAATGCTAACTCGCCAACTGGTATCTATCGTTGTGATATTCCAACTATTGCTGTCCATGATGATAGTGACATCTCAGTGAGAGACACAGTCTATGTGGGACTGTATACTGCCAGTGGAGGTATGTTACTAATGTGTTAACCAGACTTTGCATAGAATAAAGGAGAGTGAGAATAGATCTGTCCATGACAGTGCAAAATGAGGATTAACCTTTTTAGCCACCTGCTTATATAGCAATATGTACCTACCACCAATAGCAGAACTAATATGGGATTTCTAAGTCTATGTGGGACTGTACACTGGCAGTGGAGGTGTGTTCTCTGCATAATAGTGTTCTCATTGAAAGACTAAGCTATACTGCTCGCTTGATTAACCCAGATAAATAATGGGGGCCCCAACCTAAGTATAAACAGAGCAATGATGTAAAAGGACTGTGTGTAGTATGTTTATGCAAAACAGGGTGACCAAAATCTGCCACTAAGTAATATTGTGTACCTGTTGAGTCTGTCAGTCCTTGCCTTGCAGGGAGTGGCAAACAATAAGTGAACCTCAGTCTATATTGGTGAACAGTATAGTAACCAACATGACTATGTGGAATGTTTCTGTTTGTGTAGGATGCGTAAAAACACTCACTGTTGTGTTTAGGCCATACTTGTGAATTTAAATATGCAACAAGTGACTTGTAAGAGCTGGAGTAGCTAGTTTAGTTCTTGGAAAATGGCTCTAGCTGTTCTGTTGCTCCTGGGCCTGTTCTGGTCTCTGGTGTACTGCCAGACCTTTCCTTATGTCTCCTACATGGACCAGACTCTGGCCAACCATTCCTATGTGGACCTCAGTCTAGTGGGGAGATCTGATGTTGATGGTGAAGGTGTTCAGTGTATCACTGACCTGAGCTCATGTTGTAGTGATACTGAGGGTTCTCATCGTGGAGACTGGTATTTCCCTGATGGAACTAGACTGCCATTCCCTCGACCTAATGTTAATATCTTTGAGGATCGTGGAACTCAGAGAGTTGTCTTACGTCGTAACCGTGGCACCAACTCATCAACTGTTGGTATCTATCGCTGTGATATTCCAACTAATGCTGTCCATGATGATACTGACATCTCAGTGAGAGACACAGTCTATGTGGGACTGTATACTAGCACTGGAGGTATGTAAGAAATGCACAATGGTGTTCTCTTGAAAAGACTAAGATATAGTGCTCACTTAATTAACACAGATAAATATTGGGAATCTAAAAGGTAATGTGGCAGGGGTAAGTTTAATCATTTCTAATTTTATGCTGCCACATTCCCCAGGCAATGTTGTACAAGGACGACTTTGTGTATGTTTGTGTAGGATGTTATCTACCTCTAGCCAAGTGATTGAAATGTGCCTTGGCTACTAAATGTGTACCTGCTCAGTCTATATGGCCTTGCTTATTCAGAGAGTGACAAACAATTTCTAGATAATATATGAACCTCAGTCTATATTGGTGAACAGTGGTAACGGTGACTATGTGGAATGTTTCTGTTTTGTAGGATGTGTAAAACACGCTCACTGCGGTTTTTAGGCCATACTTGTGAATTTCAGTCTCCAACAAGTGACTTGCAATAGCTAGAGTAGCTTGGAAAATGGCTCTACATATTCTGCTGCTCCTGGGCTTGTTCTGGTCTCTGGTGTACTGCCAGACCTTTCCTTATGTCTCCTTCATGGGCCAGGCTCTGGCCAACCATTCCTATGTGGACCTCAGTCTAGTGGGAAGACCTGATTTTCATAATGGTGATGATGTTCAGTGTATCACTGACCTGGGCACATGTTCTCAGGGTCTCCATCGTGGAGACTGGTTTTTCCCATAATGGAACTAGACTGCCATTCTCTGGAGGTGGTGGTATCTTTGAGTTTCGTAATGCTGAGAGAGTAGAGCTACGTCGTAATAACAATGCTAACTCACCAGTTGGTATCTATCGCTGTGATATTCCAACTAACAATATCCACGATGTTACTGACATCTCAGTGAGAGACACAGTCTATGTTGGGACTGTATTATCCCAGTGGAGGTATGTTTCCTAGTTATTGCCAGCTGTATGGGAGAAGACGAAGTTTGGTGATATTCCCAGTAAGACAATGTGTGTCTCTACCTGATTTGACATTTAATTATTAGGACTGGTATAAAATGCCGCACTTGTGTTTTAGGTGATGTTACAATACCTGGAGGTATGACATATGATCCGAGCACAGAAACCCTCACCTGTATCTCCACTGGTGGACCTGCTACCACTGTCACTTGGACCAGAGACTCCACCACTGTCACCCAAGGAACCCAGACTGTCTTTAATGACCCAGTGACAGCACGGTACACCCACACTATGAATGTGACTTGGAAATCTCCTGTACTGTACACATGTACTGTGGCTAACAACAAGCCATCTAATGATTCTGGATGCATTGCAATATCTGCTCACATACCAGTCACTATTCTCCCACTGAATGCTAAAACTGTTAGGATTTTGTGGACAAGAAGTGCCTTTTTCTCCAGTTCATTTCAGTACAACAGCTCTGTCAATGCCTCCGGACTAGTAATAACTCACTACAAAACGGTCCTACAACCTAACACTGGATCTATAGACGTTCCACTAGATGATGAATTTGAAGGATATGAGCACAGCTTCACTCTTAACCACATCTTTAACTGTGATCAAGTTATAGGTTTAGCTGCTCCTGTTGTAAAGTTTGCCTTCGGTATGTGTACCTTACCTTATTTTGAAAGCTCAGAATTACTAATAATAATGTCTCTTTAGATAAGGAGTATTTTCAAATTCAGTTTGGACCATTTGACTATTGCCTCGACTGGGGAGTAAGTTATATATTATGGTTATGAAGAAGTAGTTATCTCATATATACTCCACAGGTAAATAAAGTTTCCCGTATTGAACATCAGCTGCAGTCCAGGTTGATTCGAATCGTTCGTGAAACCTGTGCTGAATGCTTTCAACTATCTCCATCCTTCCTGAGGAAAGGAGTGTTTCTTTGCCATGGCAACCCCAACTAAAACAACCTACCGCACCACTCTGGTTAACCCTTTCCCCACCACAAACTCCACCCACCTGGTGGGCATTATTCAGAGTTGGGTGTCCACGGGTCCTTCCCTCATTCTCAATGGTCTGCTAGTGAGGGTGAGTCCCTCCTGTCCCCACCTCTATCTCCAGTCTCGATGAAGAAGAGTGTGAGACTGGAACCAGGCATGACCCGGGGACTGGGGGACAGGATCACTCAGACACTCAATGTCTGTGCTCTGAGGAACCTCGGAGAGGAGCTATGTTCTCTTGGAGGCTGTCCTCTCCTTCTGGTTGACAAGGACAAAATGAACCGTTGAAGCTATATTCATAGAGTATAGAGTGTGTCGTGTATTCTGCAAACTTATAGATGTAGTTAGGTTCATAACTGTAGTGAAAGTACTAGCTATATATACTAGTGTTTTGTGGTACAGTTTTCATAATTCCCTCCATCTTTCTTCTTTCATCTTTCTTCAAGGAGAAAGAAAAACGAAAAGAACCCTTTAATTTTGAACAAAGGTGCTGCTAGAGCGCAAACAAAATTGCGTAGGGGTTTAAGCGTGTTTTGATCATTAGCTAATGTTACATGCAAACAAAATTCAAACGTTTAGGTTGGGTTTGCCTTGCCAGCC